AAAAAACAAAAAGTTGTCATTAATCTGACCATTAAATGGTTTCATCCATCCATAAATTTTCCGTCACGCTTTATCCCTGCTGGGGTGGTGAGGGGTGCTGGTGCCTCCAGCTGTCTACAGGCGAGAGGCGGGGTCACCCTGGACAGGTCGCCAATCCATCGCAGGGCAACACAGAGACAAACAACCATTCACACACACGCACACACACCTAAGGAGAATTTAGAGAAGACTGTGGAAGGAAGCCGGAGTACCCGGAGAGAACCAAAGTATGCAGAGGGAGAACATGCAAACTCCATGAAACAAAGAAAGACGGCGGGAATTTAACCCAGACCCTTCCTGCTGTGAAGCAGTGCTACCCACTGCTTCACTGTGCAGCCCTAAATAGTTTCATAAACAAACTTCAACTGTAGAGAATATCAGTTATCTTATACACCTATTCAATATAAAGTGACAGAATTATGTTTAATTATGAAAATATTTTCAATTCTACTTGTTATATAATTACATTTTAATGTAATCTTTGGTTGTAATCTGACCATAAAACAGTTAAAAAAAGCAAAGAGCTTCACTATTTAATTTCTTCAAAATGAATAGAAACCTTTCTCCACTTCCTCCATTAATAAAGGGGGATTTTTAAGGGACAAAGCTTCAAAGATTGTAAGTCAATTTCGTATTTTTTAATTAGTGCTGGGATGTGATTGAAAATTGTAATGGAGTTAATCACAGGGTCAGTAATTAAAGGAAATACATTTTTAATAAATAAAATAAATGTACCTTTTTACTCTAAAACCTGGTTTGCTACTCAGCTATGAAATACATATTATGAGCACAACTACATATATTAATTGTTTTTAATCCACCTATTTTGGTTATTCAATCATCTGACTGGTTAAAACGTATTATATTTTAGCGTTTTATGTAATTTCTTCGAGAAACTTCATTTATAGAAGTGTGAACAGTCCATGAACATTAATAACTAATATGGTACCAAATTCATATAGCAAGAATGTAGACAGAAGATAAAGTTTTATTGCTTACACTAAAACAACTATTACAGTTCTGCTCTGCATAAAACGTTGTCTTTGGGAGTTTAACAACTGCTGTTAAATTTGCAGCATTTAGTGCAATTAAAACAATTACTATTGAGGCTATTATTTTCTCGTTAAGCTTTACATAAATAATCCATGTTCCTCGTCCTCGTTCCTTCCTAACTGCCGGAACTATTCAGACAGCACTTATTATAGCGACTTAGCTGATATCCGGTTGGGATTAAGTTTTTGATTCAAATTCGAATCGATTCATAATACTATATTCCTGTTAATTGACAAGTAATTTTAATCACTAATTAATTAAAAACATTTTTAGTCAATTTTCAGCCTTAATATCCCCAGTTGACCAATGCCTGTAAGGCCACTTTTGCAACAGATTTACACGCATATAAGAAACAGCGAGTAGCCTACAAAGGTTCCCTATTGGGATGCATATAAGAAAATGCAAATAAGTGAGTTCCTATATTTAATGCATTAAAGTCCCAATCTTCTTTTAATAATTATTCACAACATTAATCACTGGGTTTGACCAGGATTTTTGTGTTTTTATGTTGTTGAATCCATTTAATTTAATTATTGAATCACTTAAATCATGTCAGCATGTCAAGACAGAACCAATAGATACACCTTATGATAATGTTTTGTTTTTGTTGATTATTTTACTGGGCAACAATGAGGAGACATTTAGAGCCAGATAGATGGAGAGCAGACACAGATAGTCCTTAGATATAGACGGGTTAATCTGTGGTGCTCACAAAAAGCAGATTAAAAATATATATTTTTTCCCTCTTCTCTTGCAGTTAAAGGTTTTGCTTCCCATCATTAGGATCACTATTTAAACATGAGGATTACTGACATGGCCCACTGTTTAAAAAAACTAAAAATACAGAAGAAAATAAGAAAGTTAGCAGATATTCTGGGATTAAAGATAAATCTGATATATCAGCTGTTGTTGGAAGACTGCTGCACTGATTATTATGAGCGACGCAGGAAAGTCTGCTTTTAAGGCTGAACTTGTATGTATGTCCATGATCTGTATCCCCTGATTTTTCCATTCAGGCTGATGATTTTTGGCTCTAGAGGTCATGTGACCTCCTGTCTGTGGGCAAATCTCCAGGCAGATGGTGTCACTGCCCCCTATAAGATGAGTTTTGGTCGACTCCTCTCTTGGTTCTGCCTCTGCATGCGTCCTCAGCTGACTCAGGAACTGATCTCTGGCCCAAAGGAGCGTCATGTTAAATAAAGATCAGGAGAAAAATCATTTAGGATTTTAAAGCACAACAAACAAATTAAACCTGATCGGGAACAAGGCCACAGAGGGTCAAAGGATTGGGTTGTTGTTTTAACTTTTTATTCTTGTGGCTGGGCGGGTCCGTCTGTGCAGGTAGCAGCTGCATCAGTTCTCTCTTTTTATTGCTAAATCACTGCAATAGATTCTTGTCAAAATCTACCCTGAAGTTCATAGTGAAACCAACAGTATCCAGTTTATTCGGATTAAGATGAAGAACACTGCATCATCTGAAACACGGATGCCTCTACGCTGCTTCTTTTTCTTCCAGGAGGGTCATTAATCTTTATTAAGCACTTTTCTTTTCTAAAATTTGATATATCCGGTACAAACACTTCAAGTGTAAATTGTTTGGCTTGTTCGGATCTGTCTGCCTCCTTCATCCTGTTGGCTGTGCTTGTTACCAGGATGGATGAAATCTGCGTAGCGTTCAGAGCAATCCTTCCCCAGCAGCTGAAAGCCGAACATAGTGATTAATTATCCTAGACGAAATCCCGGGGTTTGGCCTGGTGAAGGATTGATGCTGAACGGCGTCTGCCACTGAATCAGACAAGATTGACTGGAGAAGGAGGAGAGAGAGAGTCTAACGGCATCAAGCTGAACATCTGATTCTTCTTTATTTCAAGATAAGTACAATATAATTTGATCCTCAGTTTGCAGTGTGCAAACACAAGAGCAAGATGGAAGGACTATTGCTGTCCATCAATCTTGGAAAGATTAATGAGCCTATTTTTAAACCAATGAAAGTCTAGGATACTGTTTTCTCGAAAGGAAAAAATTTTCTTGAAAGCTTTCCATCCTTAGGTGGGCAGCAGTCAGGGTTTGCTTAAAGGAAACAAACCCTGGAGCTGCATTGCTGACTCTACAGCCCTCAGTACGCATCTTAAATGGTAAAGGTCATGACCGCACAAATAGAACAGACATTATGGAGCATTATTGGGTGTTTAAGATGGTTAAAAAAAGGAAATCTCGGCTGAAGAAATTAAGAATTTAGGACTGAAGAAGAAAATTTGGAAAGATAATACTTACTAGAGGTACAGTAGATTAAAACATCTGCTGTACCATATTTTGGGACAACATTAGTGTTTCTTGTTTGTGTTTTCTTTTATCAGCACCAGCTCTGTGCACATCTACCCCGTAAGGAAAAAAGGGGTCTAAAAAGCTGAAAAAAAAAAAAGTTTATGTATACTTAATTTAAGCTGTTTTTCCTGTTTAAAAAGATTATTAGATATTATACACTTGGAATAAGAGTTTTTTTTTTTTTATTAATATTCTAAAGATAATCTATCTGGTTTATTCCATTGTTTACCTGTTCAAATTAAGGCAAATTAAAATACACTTAAAGGAAAAAATTATTTTTAATTTTTAATTAGATTGCATTAAGGTCATTCATTGGCTTTCCCTCAATATGCTATCTATAGTTATTATTTTTCGATTGATAGCTTTTTTTTCTCATTTTTGTGATTTATTTGGAGGAAGAAAAATCAAGATCTGCATCAAAAAACACCCCAGAACTTGAGCAGAACATATCTGGGATCAGTTTGACTGATGTCAAAATTATCTGTCGGCCTTCAAAAATACGTATCGGGTGACCGTTTAATCTTACTGTTCAGCAAAGTGGTGGAGGGATGATGCTGTGGGCTGGTTTCTCCAAACTTGGAACCCTTACAGTCCCTGAGTTAACAGGAGCTTATTCTTATTCCAGATTTACCAGGCTGGAGCAAAAATGTTGGATTATTTTAAACACAAATATTTTAACCAATCTTAATTATAAATTCGATTGCATTGTTTTAAAACAATTAAGTTTTAATATTCTTGAAATAAAATATTTCTAAATGATTTAGAGACCTTTATTCAATAGAGTTGGAATTTGCGCTATAATAGATAAACTGAAATGAATGTTAGAGATTCCAGTGATTTTACTGTATATTTGAAACACAATACTTCTAAATCAATATAGAAAACATTAAAGGCGTTTGGACTTAATGCACTCAGGTTAGAAAACAAAATAAAAAATGGCTGAAATTCGTGCCGCACTTGACATAAAAGACTGCAGTTGTTTTTTCTTATTTAAATGAACATTGTATTCAATTTCAAAATCTCACTTACTTGCACCATTCATAAAAAATGAAGTATTTTAAGAAAAATGTACGCTTAGATTAACATTTTTTGCAGTGCAGCTATAAAGCACTGTAGTGGTTTCAGCCCTGAACTCTTTTTTTTATCCTGAGACATTTTATACTCCTTTCCCACTGTCTGAAAAACCTGTTTTGTCTGAAAAACAGCAAACTGACATGTGTCTATCCAGGTCAAACGACTTGGCAAGGGATGCATGTTAAAATCACCTCGGCTCGCATGCAGTGAGAATATCAGACCCACTAATTTATGCTATACCACTGAGCGCAATATATGGACGTCAACACACAGCAGGGCGCTTCTGACCTTACAAGCCAAAAGAACTCTGTTTACATTAGAGAAACATGACGCAGATCTGGTGAGGGAGATTAGGATAGATAAAAGAGCAAAACAATAAAACACACTGACTACGCCCTGGCTTCCTCACATGTTGCTCTTCATTGTTTACTTTCCTGATTTCTGTCACATTGATGACATCATCAACGTTCCCTTAAGTGAAATCCAACACCTGTCTCCTTGGCCTGCAGCCGACCTGCTGGTTAACACGCTGTGCCTGCCCTTCACCCTGGTCTACACGCTGCAGGGGGAGTGGAAGTTCGGCAGCACCCTCTGCTTCCTGCTGCCATACGCCCAGGTCCTCGCCGTGCACGTCTCCACGGTGACGCTCAACGTCATCGCCTTGGACCGTCACAGGTGGGTGGAGCATAAAGCAACATTTAACTGCTGATATTTCTCTACAGCCCGGTTAAAAGAGACACCGGTTCCCTCAGACCTGCTTCATGTCCTCCACATTATTCAATATACTTCTCTCCACTAATCTGCTTTTATAAAGTAAACTTTATTTTAATGAGTTTCTTTGATTAAGAGCGAGCAGCAGAGCAGATCGCCCCACGCAGAGTCAGAAATTGTTAACTGTTAAGAAACATGTCAAAACATAACAGAAGCAAAAAGCCTGAGTTAACAGATTCTCTCTTTTTTTTGCTATTTATGGGCTGTTGTCTGAATTTCTTCATCTGATAGGGTGTCCATGGAAGACGATCAATATGAAGAACTCTGAGAACAGCAGGAAACCTGAAAACCTGTAGATTTTTACACTGTTACATCTGGTGTCAGAATCAATAGAAAGACACATTTGGAGTAAATTAGCTGCTATAAAACAGTTTTTTTTTTTGGCAAGCTAGTTTTTAATAGTTGCCCCATATTTCAACCTCCTCTTCTGTTTCAGCTGATTTCTCTTAGACTCTATTGTTGCTACCTGTTCTTTATGTGGATGGATTTATTTTCTTATTCCTTTTCTCTTTGGTTTGTAGCTTTTTTTTATCTAGTTTAATGTATTTTGTGATGATTATTTACCTTCCCTCAGTCTGTCTATTGTCTGTCCTCTGCAGCTCTTCCTATTTCCCTGTTTGCCTCCACTGTCATTCTCCACACATACCTCAGTATTGAAACTTACGGATTTTACTGTTCTTCTGTTACGCCACCTTCATTTATCCCTGCAATTTTTCATTCTTCATACTCTTTGTTTTTAAATAAGTCTGTTTTCACCCCAGATATTCTCTGATTTGAGTTATTTACAAATCACAGACATTAAATTTCATGTTTTTACCTGTCAGGGTTCTGCGCTCTGTTTAAGTTCATTTTTAGTTTCTTTGTATTTGTAGTTGTTTTCTAGCAGTGTTCACTCTCTGTTGCCTCCTTGTGCTTGTTTCCTTTCCCCTTGGCTTTCTTCTAGTTAGTTCCATTCACACCTGCTCCTTATCAGCTCATTAGCCCATCCTTTGTCTGTTCCCCATATATACACCCCTTCTGCAGTCACTCAGTGTTGGTTTCTTGTTGTTGATTTGTTGCTCCGTTGTTTCCTGTTTCCTCATTCCATCCATCCATCCATTATCTGATATTCTTGTCCCAAGTGGGGCCGCGAGGGGTGCTTCTGCCTATCTCCAGCATCCAATGGCGAGAGGCGGGGTACACCCTGGACAGGTCGCCAGTCCATCGCAGGGCGCTCCTCATTCCAAAATAGTAAAAAAAAATTGGGGGAAATTGGAAACTTCTAAAATCTGCAAACTCATCTTTGCCCCTCATCTCTGCATTTTGATCCTCAAAAACCTCCACTCAACCTGACAGAATGTGTGTTTTATTTTGATGTTATTCTAAATAACTGAGTTGTTGTTTTAGTGCCTGATTTTGTTATTCAATTTTCATAATTATTTTTTTCTTATTTCAATGTTTGCACCTTAAAATCCTTTGTTTTAAATCCCTTAGTCACATTCAGTGATGGCTGTCCTTTAAATTGTTCTGTTTTTAACAATCAAAACACTTTGTTTTGATCTATTTTTTTGTTTAAACAAAAGTTTAAGACCTTCAGAAAAGATAGGAGTCGAAAAACCAACAGGTGACTGCGGTTCAGTTAGTGAAACCTCTCAGTGAAGTGAATAGTCATCTTTTATTCCCAAAGTTGTGGGTTAACCTCCACTTTCCTCCAACCTCATAATGATGTACTCCTGGGAAAGGCGGCAAGTTACCCAATAATGTAATAAATTCTGCCTCAAAAGAACTTGAAATTGTCATTATGATTAACTCATGGGATCCTTTAAACTTGAAAGCCACTGGTTTACAGCATAGACTTTCACTTGAGGCTCAGAATACTGTGTGTAAGAACAAACAGAAGCTCCACATTGACCTGTTTCTATGTTTGTATCAGCTTCAAGTTAGTTCATTTTTCCCCCTCGTTGGTTCACCACTAAATGTAGAAAATAAAGGAAAGGAACCTTTCTTGTCAAACTTGTTACCCTGTGCTTTAAACACAATTTCAGTATTTTGATAATATAATGACACAAGTCTATATTCTAGATAAAATATTTATAACTGTCATAAAATGATGTGTTTTAAAAAAAAAAAAGTTTCCCTCAACAGATTGATCTCTAGTCTTCTGCAAGCTTCAACCTGCAGACTCAAGTTTTATATAGATACTTAATTCTACTTAAGAACTGCGGGGAGTAAAACTGCTTTTTTGAATATTTGGGGAAATATTTGGATAGTTTTTAAAAGATAGATGCAGGTCACATCATGTGTGGCAGACAACAAAATGACGTTTACAATTTTAGACAAAACAAAATGATTAAAGAATCAGCCCAAAAGAATAAAACTGTGTTAAGTTTGTGTACTCAGTGAAAAACCTTCCTGTTACCTGCTCAAAATCTTGTTCTCTCCTGCCAAATCACAGCCAATATGAATGAATATATGTTTTAGGAAAAAATATTTTTCGGCCAAGCTTTTACCATCTCTATGCTTCCTCTGACATACATGATAAGAAGATGGTTAACTTCTAGCTTTCCTCACATGGAAATTCTGTCATGTTGGGTTCAAGGCGTCTAACCCACATGCAGAAAAACATTCTTAAGACAGGGAAAAAGTTCAATGATTTATTTACAATATTTACAAAGGGAATGATGCACGGGTTCTGGGTTCTGAGGTCTGGTCATGGGAGGAACACCACTGAGGAGGACAGAGCAGTTAGAATGGATCCAGGAAATTTGCAGTTCACTGATGGCGGGGATAAATACCTGCTCAGAGAGGATTCTGGTCAGCAGGGGGGGAACCTTGTGAGTCCAGAGGCTAGTCGGCAGGCAGAGGGCCGAGGGCAGAGACTGAGACTGAGTGCAGGCAGGCAGATTCCAGGCAGAGATTTCTATCTCCAGAATTTCAGGTTTCCAGGCAAGTCAGGATCTGTGAGGCAGGGAGAAACGGGGTCAGACAGGTTCACAAAATCAGGGTCTAGATCAGGCAGGCTGGCTCAGGTTTGCTAACCATTACTGGCAAACATTCTGGCAGGGAAGTGTCACCCTACTCCTCCTTAAATAGGTCTTCTTAATGAGGAGACAGGAAACAGGTGTGTAGGAGCAGCTCATGCCCTCAGGAAGGAAGATGACCGGCGCCCTCTGGTGGAGAAAGTGGACAAGCCTCCAGATCCCAACAAATTCACTGACTTCCACACCAAAAATATTTTTTAGCACACCAGAAATAATATTTATGCATTGAAAAGATTGATATTTTGGTCAGCTGGAGGCAGGGAGATATAAATGCATCCTTTTAAGCCTGGTTAATGAATAACCCATCCCTGTTCATGTGGAAGGGAAACGCGCTAAACCAGCACAGTACTTGCAGCATTTGATACCCTGTTGTTGTCAATATTTTAGTCTCTAGGCGGCAGGGTATGGCACAGATACAAGACAATAAATAGACATGTACCATATATCGGCAAAAAGCACAGATGTCTATTTCAAAGTCTCTTCATGTCATCAAAGAGTGACATTAATATATTTCCAAAAGTAGTTTCAACAAGAACCAAATCTGCCAAGCTTCAACCTAAGCATCGGTTCTGTAATCCAAAGAATTCTAAGTAAGCCCACTTACAGAAACTGTTTTTATTCCTACACCAGAACAGAAGCTTTTTTGTTTTCTGCTGTTTGTTTTTCTCTGCTTTCTTTACTCTAAAATAGAAACATGGCTCAGTGTGATGGCTGTCTTGCCCAATAAAGGCACAGGTTAATTTAACTGCTGGAATTAAAGCAAGTGATGGAGGAAGTCTAGATAAACAACTCATTTCCATATTTTGAGTCTGTTACTTCATGAAGGATTTCAAACTTGCTGGACCAATGGATAACCGCGATCTACAAGATTTGCATCCAGAGATATATTTCAATCCAATTTCAAACAGCAAAAGCTTTAAGTATATTTATATATTTAGCTTTATACATTTGTTATGAAATGCTACTTTGACAGTGACATCTTTTTGTTTATTTTTACCTTAGTTTCTTAAATAGCTTCAATCGTTGTTATAACCTTGATTTAATTCCAGTATATATTAGGAGTACATCCCTTTGAAAACTCATATCGAATAGAAAGGATTACACATTAACCCGCACATGTACAGAGAGAATTAGAAAAATTATTGTGTGGAGATTTAATCCAATGCAAAGTAAATAAAAAGTATCTTAGAGGTAGCTTGGGCATTTACTTATGTTATGCTTTATTTCTTTCTATCTATCTATCTATCTATCTATCTATCTATCTATCTATCTATCTATCTATCTATCTATCTATCTATCTATCTATCTAAAACTAATGAATCTTAGCTGGAATCCTTGAAGAACACCATTTTATAAGGTTAACTAACTTAAAACTGCAAAAGCACTCCATAGAACCTGATGAGGAGGAATTTAGGGGTATGGAACCTTTTTGTCCAAGAAATACATAAACATAAAATAAGTAAATGTCCAAACTACCTGTTTGATGCTTTATGTGTATATATATATATATATATATATATATATATATATATATATATATATATATATATATATATATATATATATATATATATATATATATATATATATATACATAAAGAAAACATATGAAATGTTAATAGCAGTTCCTTCCTGTAAAAGCATGAATGATTTTACATTAGGTGAGCATATGCTGCTGTGGTGTAACACCATTTGAAACCAGTCTGAGGTGTTATGTTGAGCTTTAAACACTTTCCAGCACTTGAGGCCAGAGAAAACTTTTAATCCCAACTTGCACCAGTTAACTTCTGGCCCCTGCTCAGGTGTTTTCACAGGTTTTGTGCTTCAGCTTCCACTCCAAAGGGAGCTACAGCAGCTTTTAATCCACAACAAACAGGCTGCCAG